AGGGGAGGGGAGTAGAAGGGAGGGGAGGGGAGAGGAAGAAGAAAGAGGGGGATGGAGGAGGGGAGGAAGGAAGAGGGGAGGAGTGGCGGCAGTGGGAAGGACCTCTGTCCCGCATCCCCAGCCCGCCCCCGAACCCGGCTGCAGGAGACCGACCCCGAGGCCGGGCCCAGCCGAGGGGGTCCCGGCCTGGGCTCCATAGCCTTGCCTGCCATAGCCTGAGCGGCACCTTCTTCCCCGGCCCCGCCCCTCCTCCCCGCGGCCTGTGGTCAGGGCAGAGGCTCCCCTTTCCGGAGCCTCTTCCAGCTCAGCCTTCCCTCTGGGGCAGCGGGTCGCCGGGTCCGCTCACCTGCACCCGGCGGCCTCTGGCTGTGCGGAGCCTGCAGGCGGCCTGTGGGTGAGGCCCTGATGGGCTGCAGCCCCCCCAAGGCAGGGAGGGCAGACTGGCGTCGCCCCTGAACCCCACGTCCTGACCCGAACAGAAACTTGGCTCTGACTGGAAACGTGTGTGTGTGTGTGTGTGTGTGTGTGTGTGTGTGTGTGTGTCCCGTTCCCCCCCCCCCCCACTCCAGTCTAATGTCCTACGACAGTTTCAGCTACTTTTAGGAAAAGCATTTCTCTGAGGTTCCCTCACTGATCCTTTCTCTAAGGCTGATGGCATGCCTCCCTTTGCATTTTGCAATCACTAAATCGCCAGGAATGAACTTTCCTCAGGCCTTTCATTTTTCATTCAAAAGTTGCCCCTTGTTTTAAGTTTTGAGGGTGCATGCGGTCGTAAAGGTGACTGGGATCTAAGGTCTAGGTCAGATTCACTCCCCCTCCCTCCCATCTCAGTACCCGGTGTTGTATGCAGACTGGGCCTTGCTCTGGGGGTTCCTGGTGAACAGAGAGGACAGACTGAGGACAGTGCGTTACCAAAAAGAAAAATGCACAGATTCATAGAGTAAGATCCTAATTTTGTAACAACGAAGAATTAGCAAGAAAAACAAAACTTGGACACATGCATTAAAAAATTAGAGGAAAATCCATTAAAAAACTAGAGGAAAATCCATAAAATATTGTTATCTCTGGTCACTGGAATTATAAATACATATTTACGCACTTGAATATATATATATATATATATATATATATATAATTTTTTATTTTTTTTAATTTAATTTTTAAAAATATATATTTTATTAATTTTTTTACAGAGAGGAAGAGAGAGGGAGAGTTAGAAACATCGATGAGAGAGAACTATCGATCAGTTGCCTCTTGCACACCCCCTATTGGGGATGTGCCTGCAACCAAGGTACATGCCCTTGACTGGAATCAAACCTGGGACTTTTCAGTCCCCAGGCCAACACTCTATCAACTGAGCCAAACTGGTTTCGACTACGCACTTAAAATATTATTTTCCTCCACAAATTTTCTAAAATAAAGGCTTTTATAATGAGAAAAATCAAGGTAATTGGCCTTTATTATTATTTTTTATTTTTCAATTATATATAGGTGGCATACAGTATTATATGTTTTAGGAGTACAACATAGTGGTTAGACATTTATAAACTTTATGAAGTGATCCCCCTGTAAGGCTAGTACCCATCTGGCACTAAACATTGCTAAATCACAAAGAAAACGATGTTCTTACAACTCTGTGTCTCCTTGTGTTGGTGGAATGAAAGGAGACGGAGCGTGAGGCAGCACGGGGCAGGTCCTCACGTGCTTTCCTGTTCTGACTGCTCGCAGAGGCTGCAGGGAGCGGGCGGTCCCTCCTGAGGGGCAGTGCCTGGCACCACTGGGCACACAGGGCTCCTTAGACAGCCCAACAGCCTGACTAGTGTTGGGCGTCCTGGAGTTTTCTTGAAGGGGAAGGCGTGCCTGCCTCGTGATAGGACCCATCTTTGAATACCAGCCATATAATCATTGTAGAATTCTGTCTCTGAATGCTGGTTAAAGAGCTATTCCGTTCACGTTTTTCTTTACAACAGAAGCAGTTAGTGAGGTAACTGACATGAGAGGTTTGTCTTGGTTTGAGAAATTTTCTCAAGGTTTTCTATCGAATGACAGCATGAAGGGGCAGAGGCGTTCATCACTCATGGGAGCACCCAGGGCCATCCGAGCCCAGTTCCACGGCTCCCTCTGCGTCCTGTGTGAAGAAAGTCTGAATGAGCCCCGTGGGTGTGGCTCAGTGGCTGAACGTGGACCCATGAACCAGGAGGTCGCTAGTTCCATTCCTGGTCAGGGCAGGAGCCATGCCTGCAGGCTCTATCCCCAATAGGGGCGTGTAGGAGGCCGCCAATCAATGATTTTCTCTCATCATTCATGTTTCTATCTCTCTCTCCCTCTCCCTTTCTCTCTGAAATAAAGAAAAATAGATGTTAAAAAAAGAAAAGAGAAAGTGTGAATGAAGCAGTCTTTCTGATTGCTGCCTAAGACACAATGAATCTCTTCCACGCCCAGCCATGAGATTCTGGGATCAACCATGCAAGTGCGACACCTTTCGGGGAAGGAGAGCTGCAAGCAGCCAGGAGTTACAGTATTGGATCTATTTTGTGGGGGGGAAAGGTGAAGGAGCATGTGTCATGTGTCAAAATACCTTCCCACCTCCCCATTCCTTACCAGTTACAGTATTGGATCTATTTTGTGTGTGTGTGTGTGTGGGTGGGTGGGGGGGAGAAAAAAAAAAAAAAAGAGGCCCATTCCCAGGGTTGTCATGTGACGGGGGAATTCACCTGAATTTTTTTTTTTTCTTTTCTCCCCCACCTCCTGCCCCCCGCCAAATAGATCCAATACTGTAACTAATAGGGAACGGGGAGGTGGGAAGGTATTTTGACACATGGCACACGCTCCTTCACCGTCACCTTCTTGTCCATTGTTATTGCTCCTTTCCCATCTGCAGCTATAAGGGACAGACCCTCCAGAAGAAAAATGGAGTTTTATTTCACACCCACACCCCGCACTTTCTGTTCTCCTTTCTTTTTTGGTCACACACTCACAACCAGGCACACATTCACAGGACTCTTCTTTAAATATATATATATATTTTATTGATTTCAGAGAGGAAGGGAGAGGGAAAGAGAGATAGAAACATCAATAATGAGAGAGAATCATTGATTGACTGCCTCCTTTATGCCCCTACTGGCTGGGGATCGAGCCCGAAACCTGGGCATGTGCCCTTGACCAGAATCAAACCTGGGACCCTTCAGTCCACAGGCCGATGCTCTAGCCCCTGAGCCAAACTGGCTAGGGACATTCACAGAATTCTTACCTGGCTCTGTGTGTGAGTGTACAAATGACTCAAAGACATGTATAAATAAAACCATGTATTGTTTAGGGGGGGCACATCTCTGTAGATGGTGGGTGACAGATAAACAGAAATATTTCATAGGCACTCCATGGCTCCAGAACTCTGCTAAAATACAAAGCCTATTACAGCACCAGTCCTCACTACGTTACCTGTTTTAGAAAAGGCATTATATTTTTAAAGTTTTGGAAAAAAATATCCCAAATATTAACACGATCCTGGAGGTCAGAGAACTGAGAATGGGATGAAAGTTGAGGTACCAGTGGTGAGGTAAGGCCTCTTCACCTGGGAGATGATTTTTGAAATTGGAGGAGAGTGTGTGGTCTCACCGACCTCCAGAGAAGTAGCAGATTCAGCTGCGAAGTCACTGAACTCACAAGGCCCAAGGCTAAAGATGAAACATCTATTTGCATTAACATCTTTCAGCAGGGGTGCATTATGGGGGAGAGGCTATGAGCCACGGAGTGGGGAGTCAGGCCCCAGCCTTGCTAAGCCTCCTTTGCTCTCCACAGAGCATACAGCAAGAGCTACATGAGAATGGACTGAGACCCAGTCCTCCGGAGGCTGCCGCAGAGCTGGGCTTCCCGGGAGGACAGCTTCCCAGGGAAGCAGGGCGGGCGTTTTTTTATGTAGTTTGCACATCCCAGCACTCAGAGCACCTGCCAGGAACGGCTCACGGCCTCCCACACTGGTCTGCTCTCAGGATGACGAGCTGGAGAGCTGCTGCAGAGCCCAGAGACCTACTGCTTGGCCTGTCCACGGAGGCCTGTCCATGGAGGCCTGTCCATGGGATCTGGCCCCTGCTGCCTCCTCCTCCAGACAGAAGGGATGACTGAGCCTGGCACCTAGGAAACCAAGGGGCCACAAAAGCTCCTGCTACCGGCACAGATGCATTATTTTTTATGTTTCTATGATTATCTGTCCTAGTTCAGTGTTGTTATTTGTTGATTTCAGAGAGGGAGAGAGAGAGAGAGAGAGAAACATCAATGATGAGAGAGAGTCATTGATTGGCTGCCTCCTGCACGTCCCCCATTGAGGGCATAGTCTGCAACCTGGGCCTGTGCTTTTGGCTGGAATGGAAGCTGAGACCCTTTAGCCCGCAGGCCAACGCTCTGCCTACTGAGCCAAGCCAGCTAGGACCCGGTGTTTTGAGAGTTGACTGGCTAGTTCACGTCTGAGCCCTGCTAAAGGCTGTCTCGGGGTTTTGACACAATTTACGGTCCTTCTGTCACAGCATTCACATTCTCAGCAGTACTGTTTTCTTTTTTGGGCCTGGAATCGGGTTTTACTCACAGTAGAGCAGGAAAAAACTTTAGGGCAGTGAGAGGCTAGCACTTGACACACAATCCGATCAGCTCAGTCAGAGTCCATCCCGAGGTCAGAGGTCAGCGCAGGGTGGGTGCGCGTGGACAGTGTCTGGACTCAGGGTTGACCAGTAGCCCCAGGGAGTAGTCACTCTAGCAAGTTGTTTTAAATAAGTGTTTTGTTTTGTTTTTAAAACCAAGTCCATCAAATAACACAAACTCAAGCTGATAAAATCTGCTGCCCTCAGACCCCATCTCTGCCGGGCAGGCGGGTGGAGACCAGGAAGCACCATCTGCGTCTTCAGGCGGACTCCTGCCTGCAGTCCGCGCTGGCGTCTTCATTCGCTGCTGCTATTGCGGCTGCTACGTCTGAGGAGCGCCCTTCGTCACCCGGCACGGGGCCTTTCTCTTCACATCCTCGTGTCCTGGGCAGGGGTGTTGCCCTGTGAGCAGAGGAGGAAAGAGTGAATTGGGAGGAGAGTGGGAATCCTGACACCAGCCATCTCCTCAGGGATGCCAAGTCAGACAACAATAGCAACCGTAGTAGTAATAGTAATAATAATGCTATGAGCCTGATGCATCTTTCACACGTGTCAGTTCAGTTGTTCTTCACAAAAGCAACATGACTCAGATACTTCCATTAGCTCTGTTTCATAGATTGGGCCTTTAAAGCACAGAGAGGTCAAGTGACTTCCCCTAGGTCACACAGCTGGCAAGCGGTGGAGTCAGGATTTAAACCCAGGGACTGGAGCTTAACCCCTCAACACTGAGGCAATGCTGTCTCTTTGGTGCCTGGCTTCCCACATCCTCCCTGCCCTGCTTCTCACCCACGCGCACATTCCCACTCACGCTCACCGTCCTGAGACACTGCTCAGTGTCTTTGTCAGCACAAAGATGGAAACTAACAGAAAGAACTGGAAAGAAAAGACTGACCCTGGCGGGAAGGCCAGGTAGCCAGCTGTTGATTGCGTGCTTGTGGGACCAGCGCTGTCAGCTCCCCCTGTGTTAGGAGCCCCGTGGGCCTCCTCAGCATCAGGTTTCCAGCGGAGAAGCTCAGAGGCTTATGGCCGGACCCACAGTGCGAGGTGTTTGTGGCGTGGGCCATCCCCGTGGGCCACACTGAGTGGAAGGTATGGGAGGAGCTGGGGGCATTTGTCCCCGGGCAACCAGGGGTGCCCGTGGGGACCCAGAAGCGGTGGGCAGGCTCCAGGCTGGGTTCTGGGGCAGGGCCGGCAGGAGCTGGTGAGATGGCCATTGCCTATTATGGAATGGTAGGTGGGGAAGGATGGAGCCCTGGGCCCTGTTGTGGGGGACGGGCGAAGGCTGGGGACGCCAGCTCTCAGCTTGCAGAGAAACATGCACTCAGTTACCCAGAGACAGGGAGGGGTGGTGGGAGAGCAGGCATCGAGCCAGCCTTCGGAAGATGAATGAGGGGCTGGTGCACTGGGTGGACCTGGAGACCAGGACTCTGAGGAGCGCTGTTGACTATGGGGATGAGGGAGGGAGGGATAACATGGGGTCTGGGCAGGGGTGAGGAGGAGAGACCAAAGGCCCTCAATGGGGGGCTTAGTAAGACCCATGGACTGATTGCCTGTAGATGGGGCAGGGGTTGGGAGTGGGATGGGGGTTGGGAGTGGGATAGGGGTGGAAGGAGGGGGTGGAAAGGAGTCAGTACTTCAGCAGCAGCTAAGGGGGCTGGGTTTCAGCTGAATATGCATAGAAAGTCTATTGAGTGACAGATAAGTTTGGGTCTGGGAGTGCTGGGAGCGGGGACTGGAGGGCCCAGTAAGAAGTCTGTGTGTGTGGTCAAACCCCTGTGCGAGCCAGGCTGATGCTGAGCTGTTGGAAGTCGCCAGCAGGTGGCGGTGAGGCCCAGGCCCCGCAGTCACTCAGGACCACCGCCTGGCAGTAGGAGCCAGAGGAGACACTGTGGACAGCACAGCGCATGGCTAAGCTCAATAGGCGGGGACTCTTTCCCACGACAGAGCGGGGAGGGGCTGGGCAGCCTCGCTGGACAGGCAGGAGGGGCAGATGGCAGAGGTGAGGGTGACAAGAACCAAGAGGCATTAGTCTTTGGTGGCTGGGAGGGCATTGGTGAACTGCAAAGTCAGCCATCAGAGCAAGGTCGCTCTGATGGGGAAATAAGAGGAACAGAGAGCATGGGGATGAGGTGAGGGCAGAGCTGAGGGCTTTTCTTCAGGGGTAAGTGCCGACAGTCAATTCCAGCATATTGTAATCACAAGAGTTTTATCAAAAGGTTGGTGAAACTTGGGGCTCAACAAGGGCTGAGTCACATATGCAATTACCTGTTGGAACGGCTGGAAAGGCACTTCTCCCAAACCTGAATAGGATGATTGTTTACTGCCAGACAGCTCAGGGCATCTTAATCTACATGTTATTGCCCCCTGTTGGTCAAACACCTGAACACCTGTAGGCTATTCCCCAATCTGTCAGTGCCTCTGTAAACCCCACCCTTTGAAGTTTATGTCTCCACCTTGCCTTAGGACAAATTGTGCTAATAAAAAAGCAAGGGTCCTGAGACAAGGAGATCCTTTAGCTCCTTTAGCTGAAGCTCCTCTGACCCCCAATGCCTTTCAAAATTATCTTTCATCTTTGGACTCTTACTTAATCTACGCACAGCCTTTCTCTGGATTGCTGAACCCTTCTTAATACTGGGACAAGAACCCCAGAAGTTAGAGAGACTCTGCATGTTTGCAGGCAGAAAGGGGTGAGCCAATGAGGAGCAGGAAACAGAAGATCCACCACACCAGACGCTCTTAATCTAACCCCATTGCTTGCAGCCCACAGGTGCAGCCCACAGGTGTCCTGTGAAACAGCCAGGAAATGACAGAGGGGGGGTGAGGGCCCAGAACAGTGGAGTCTGGAGTCCCTCCTATCAGGAGGATTCACTAGCAGAGCCACCTACCTCCTTCTCGGACATCTTGTTGCTGGTCCTGGGGTGGCAGCCTGGCTCCAGGACGCCCCCCTCCTCTTGCTTCTCCTTGTCAGTCCCCTCTGCGGGGGTGAGGCTGCCCTCCACACCTTCAGGGGGACTTTGGGGGCTCTCCTGCCCCCCAGATTTCTCTTCTAGCTGATGCGTGTCCAGGCTCTGCTGTGCAGGCTCCCCTGCCCTGCTGGCCCTCTCCACCTTTGCCGCTGCGGCCTCCTCCCTCTGCTCTGGGGCTTCCTCCCTCTGCTCTGTGGCTGGCCTTGCCTCCTCAGGGCTCCCGCACCCGCTCTCTGCCTCTGAGCCAGGGGCCTCTGTGCTGGGGCCCTTGGGTGGTGGGGTGGCCTCCTCCTGGGCATCTGGGGCAGCCTTCTCAGGCAGCTGCTCCGGGGTGGCCTTCTCAGGGGCCGGGACCTCCCCCTCCTGCTTGTCCGTCCTCCTCAGAGGGGGCCTCTCGTGGGTCTCCAGGTTCCTGCTCCCGTCCCTTCCTGCCTCCTCACTGGACTGCGGGGAGCCTGGGGCCTTGTTCCTGGACTGAAACACCTCGTCCCCGGCTTCTTCCTGGGCGCCATTCTCCTGGGACGACTCTGGGGCCCTGAAATCTCCCAGCTCCCCATATTCCGACTGAGACTTCCGGAACCGTCGAGACGGAGGGCGCCTCTTTATGGAGCCCCTTGTGCGCACCTGGAAGAAGATATAGAGGAAAATTACCCCAAGAAGAAAACTCAGGTTCCTTCGAGGCCAGCCTCCTGCCTCGCGGCCGGCCCAGGGACACTGCTTTCCCGGAGAACCGGCCAGCTTGCCTCCCCTTAGGCCAGCGCTGGGGACTGTGACATTCCACAACCTCTCATGAAGGTGCTGCCTAACCACCCAGTAAAAAGATGTGGCCATGATTTTATTGCCCTGTAAACAGTCATTGGTTTGGAGTCTAATTTAGCCATTTTATTCTAGCCTTTTTTTTTCAATTGCCTCTAAATAACCAGTTCTTCAAAAAAAATTTTTTTTATTGTTGAGAGTATTACAAATGTCTTCCTTTTATTCTCCATTGCCCCTTCCACCAGTTTCTGTTGAGAATTCAGCTAACAGTATGAGTGCTCTCTTATAGGTAACTAACTGCTTTTCTCTTGCTATCTTTATGATTCTTTGTCTTTAGCCTTTGCCATTTTAATTATGATGTGTCTTGGTGTGGGCCTCTATGGGTTCCCCTTGTTTGGGTCTCTCTGAACTTCCTGGACTTGTAAGTCTATTTCTTTCACCAGATAGGAGAAGTTTTCTGTCATTATTTCTTTAAATGTTTTTTTAAAAAAAATATTTTATTGATTATTTTACAGAGAGGAAGAGAGAGGGAGAGAGTTAGAAACATCGATTAGAGAGAATCATCGATCACCTGCCTCTTGCACACCCCCTACTGGGGATGTGCCCGCAATCAAGGTACATGCCCTTGACTGGAATCGAACTTGGGACCTTTCAGTCCACAGGCTGACGCTCTATCCAAAGAGCCAAACCGGTTTCAGCCTTTAAATGGGTTTTTAATCTCCTGCTTTCTCTCTTCTCCTTCTGGCACCCCATGATGTGAATGCTGGTAACTTGAAGTTGTCCCAGAGGCTCCTTACACTATCTACATTTTTTTTTATTCCTTTTTTTTTTTTTGGCTCTTGTGATTGGGTGGTTTTTGCTTCCTCACATTCCAAATTGTTGATTTGATTATCAGCATCCTCTACTCTTCCGTGGATACCCTATAAATTATTCTTCATTTCTGTTAGTGTAGGCTTCGTTCCTGACTGGTCCTTTTTTCATGTCTTTGATGTTCTTACTAATTTACTTGAAATTCTCACTAAGGTATTGAAATTCTCACTAAGTTCTTTGAAGCTCTCATAAGGTCCTTGAGCCTCCTTTTAACCATTGTTTTGAACTCTGTATCTAGTAGTTTGCTTGCTTCCATTTCACTGAGTTCTTTTTCCAGCGATTTCTTCTGCTCTTTCATTTGTGACATGGTTTTTTTGTCTCCGCATTTTGGCTGCTTCTCTATGCTTGTTTCTAAGTATTAGATAGAACTGCTATGGCTCCTGGAATTGGTAAAGTGGCCTGTGTAGTAGGAGTCCGGTAGGGCCCAGTGGCTCAGCCTCCCCAGTCACCTGACCTGCACACCTTAGGTGACCCCTGTATGGGCTGTGTGCACTGTCTTGATGCAGTTGAGCCTTGATTGCTGTTGGAGGAATTCACTTGGAGGAATTCACCCCCAGGCCAATTGTGAGGATCAGCTACATCTACAGTGTGAGAGCTGCTGTGCAGGAGACACCCCTATGGAGCAGGACATGCTTCAGTGGGGCTTAGATGCTCACTGAGTCTTTCCCTCGAGTGTATCACTCATGGATGGATGTGTTGAGTTGTAATCTGGTGTGGTCTAAAGCTGTGGACTGGCTCTGAGCCTCCCAGGAGGTGCAAAGTCAGCCACTGCCTGAGGCCACAGATGGTGTCGGAGCAGCCTGCTTCATGCCTCTGCCCCTCCCACCAGTCTCAGGGTGCTTTCTTCTTTAGTTCTCTCGTGTAGGACTTCCATTCAGCCAGCTTTCAGGTGATTCTAGATGAAGGTTGTTTTGTATTTTAGCTGTAATTTTGATGTGGTTGTGGGAGCTGGTGAGTACCTTTACCTACACTGCCATCTTGGTCCTATCCCTCTTCTAATGTTCTTTGAATGGGCTTCACTATCTTGCAGGTTTCTTCATAAATTAAGGATAAAATGTATACCTATTTTGTATGAGACATGTTTTACTATTTTGAAGATTATACTTTGACAAAGGTAAACCCAACAGAGAAGAGGGTTGGGGCCTGCTGGTGGCCCAGCCCTGGCACAGCAACCTCAGAGGGGCAGAGCTGGGCAGTTGGTGACCAGCTTCCTCCCTTTCCCCAGCTCAGCCATTCCTGTCCACACAAGGCTGTGTGACCCTGGGAGAGCTGAGCTGCCAGGTCTTTCTTTTCTGGGCGACAGGCTCACCATGCCAAGAGTTGTGTCTCAGGAGCGCCCAGCAGAGGGGGGTGCAGGTCCTTTCCTGCCCGGGAAGCATGTGGACCTGAGAGTCAGGACTCACCATGGCCCTCCGGACTTTGTCAGAAGTTCCCTGGAGCCCTAGCCAGTTTGGCTCAGTGTATAAAGCATTGGCCGGCTTCACGGCTTTTGGCAGAGGGACCAGTCTGGATGGTCTTTAACTAGGACAAGAATTCTTACCGCGGGAGCAATGTTTTGAGCCCATACTGGGTCCCAGGTTCGATTCCGGTCAAGGGCATATGTACCTTGGTTGCAGGCACATCCCCAGTAGGAGGTGTGCAGGAGACAGCTGATGGATGTTTCTCTCTCATTGATGTTTTAAACTATCCATCTCCCTTTCTCTCTGTAAGAAATCAATAAAATATATAAAATATAAAAAATAAAAAAAGTTCCCTGGAAATGCTTATGCCTGACTTCACTCAAGGGATGCGTCCTTTAATGATGTCAACTGAACCTTATTTTCATAGTTTGTTTTCCTACTATTTTCATTATTGGAAGTGGTCAATCCTAATTCCATCTCAGGGTTTGGAATGAATGCTGTGGGTTAGAAGGCTTCCCGGGCCTGTCCTGAGACCACAGGAGGCAGCCCTGAAGGGGATCAGGGCCCAGCCCTCAGGGCCAGGAGGTTTCAGAACTAGTCTCTCTGCTCCCTTGCTGCGTCAGATCACTGACGTCTGATATATGACCAGGTGCCAGCACCTCCCTCCCTGCCTACTCCCTACCGACACCCGTGAGCGACAAGGCTGTCCCCTGGGCCCCGCTGCCTCTCACCCGGGACTGCAGGATCTCCTGACCTCAGCCAGCAGGCTCAAGCCGCCCATCACCCCTCCACACCAGTTTATTTCCTTGGGCCTCACCTGTTTCTGCACACTTGACCTTTTCCCCAGATAGGTTTTCTAGAACGACCCAGAAGGTGCCTCTCCCTCCATTCATAGTTCCCAAGTCACCCCCAATGCCATTCTCTGGCGTTAGCCCCTGCCTGGCTCCGCCCACATTTGTTGGGCACCTGCTTGCACTGTGTCTCTGAAACTTCCCACCTCTTGGTAGGGCCCGGGACCCAGTGAAAGAGCACAGAGCGTGGGGCAGCATCTATGGAAACAGCCGGCCTCACGGCTTTCGGCAGAGGGACCGGTCTGGATGGTCTTTAACTGGGGCAAGAATTCTTACCGCGGGAGCAATGCTTTGAGCCCATACTGGGCACTTAGGAGCAGTCACACCAGGCCGGTGCAGGGGGCTTTCACATCCTAGCGACCTGCCCAGCCTTCTGCACACGTCACTGGCCAGGTCTTTATCTTTGGTTTTCAGCTTTGACGTAACTCTGTGAGGTGGGCTCAGTCCCAAGTTCCCACCCTCCTTCCACCAAGGACAGTGCTTGCCACCCCCACGCCTGCCTTTCTGGTGGCGGTTACAGGGGGAGGAGACAGGCAGGCAGGGAGAGGGCTGACCCTGGCCCAGGGGCGTTTCCCCCTGTTAATAAGCAGTCCTGACCACAGCTCCAATGTGTCCTCCTCTCTCCGGGCAGCCACAGGGTGGACCCTCAGAGTTGACGGACCACGGACTCTGGACCCAGACAGTACCTTGTTGTAACAGGGCAGGTGGCTGCCCTCCGGGGGCTGGTCGAAGCTGATGGGCACCTCCTCTGGCTCGCTGGCCCGAGAGCGCACGCCGGGGCTGCTGGGAGTGGAAGGCGGGCTGTGGAACGGGGACACCATGGCCTTGAGGCCGGGGCTCTTGGGCGAGGCCCCGGGCAGCAGGGCGGCGGGATCGAAGGCGAGGTTGGCCTGTTGGGAGGAGACGAGACGTTTCAGGTCGGGGCGGGAGAAGGTGAGTTTCTGCTCCAGCCCATTGGTTACCTAGCCTTGCGTAGCTCCGGAACTTGAGTGGTGGTGGCAGCGATTTTGTGCCCAGGGGATCACTGGCACGGTCTGGAGACATTTGTTGCTGTCACCACTCGCGGGAAAGTGCTACTGGCATCTGGTGGGAAGGGCCCAGGGAGCTGCCAAGCATCTTTGAATGCACAAGGCAGCCCCACCCGCGCAGGACAATGACCCAGCGCAGCCATGCCACGGCGAGGAGCCCTGGTCTGGGCAGGAGGAGCAGGCGGTTACAATGGAGATCTCTGGCATTTATCCTCCTACACGTCCTTTGCTGTATTGCATGGGGAAATCTGCCCTCCCCAACAAGACTGTGAGCTCCACGGCCCCCGTATGCTTCATTTACTTCCCAGGGAGGTCTGCTCAGCTGTGGGCACACTGTGACAGGTGGAGGGGTTGAGCAGTCCCAGGGCCAGCAGCCGCATTTCGGCCTGTGTGAGGCTGTTATGGCTGGCGGCTGCCTTCAGGCCTGGGGGAGAGGGCCGTGGTTCCTGGGGTGTTTCCTGCACTGCGATGCCCTTTGCCTGGAGGACTCCTGCGGCGCCCCATTACCCATCGCCACCGCTAGGTGTCAGCACCTGAGCGCATGCTTGACAGGGACCTTATTTGGGCCCTTTGGCTCCCGCGGAGCCCTCGTCCTTCAGGACAGTGTGGTCACTGGCTGGTGGTCAGAGTCAGCTCTCCAGGGACACAGGGACCTGCAGGTGTTGGGGAAGTGGGGGGGGGGCAGTTAGGACGGGCAGCCGCGCTGCACTCACCTGGAGCTTCTCGATCAGAGGGGAGCTCTTCACCTTCACCTTGGGGAGGTGGCTTGTATGGGGTGATTTCTGCAGAGCAAAGGGACCAGAACAACCGAATGAGTAGGTGAGGAAGCCCAGACCACGGGTGGAGGAGGAGGAGGAGGACGTGTTGATTTCACTCAGCTTTGGAGGCCCACATTCCTCCCCAGGGCCCTGGTGAGGCAGACCCCCCCCCCCCCCCCATCTCTCCCCTAGCAGGATCAGAGCAGGCAGGACAGACACCCAAATACAAGAGGTCTCCTGTACCAGCACGATGATCTCGTGCTCATTTGGAGGGAACAGACGGTGTGTGAGAGGGGACTTCTCTGCACTTCATGACCGTCAACAACACTCAGAGGGAATTTCAAAGAGAAAGGACAAAATGACCCATCCCATTGGTCACAAGGGAAATAAGAAACCACAGACCAGGAGTGGAACCTGCCCGAGGTATTTTGGAAATTCCCCCCTTGAACTAGTGGTATTCTGGAAAATCCCACAAAAAAGTTATTATTTTCCAAAGCACTGGGTATTCATTTTGGTGAACAGACATTTATGGAACATGCACCACGTTCCAGGCCTTATGCTGGTTGCATGAAGTTGCACTGTTTGGGTGAAGATATTTTTGTGATGAATGGAGGTAGAAGTCTTATCTTGCTTTGATTCGATGTTAGCCAAAAGGACGAACTCCTTTCTGTTTTGTGCAAAATCCCTACCACTGAGTCTGGTTCCACAGATAGATTCCTCCTCACACGTGGGAATGATGGCGATGATGATGAAGAAGAAAAGTGAAGGAAGGAGGAGGAGGAGGAGACACTTCATGTTGGACAGAGGCCGAGCAGATATAAGGGGCCCAACACCTAGTCTGTACCCCTCACCCACATGTTCTAATTTTCCTGCATCATAGGAAGAATAACACCAGCCCCTAGAATGTTCTGAGGTCTGTACTGAGTGAGATGGCTGTATTTCAATGAAGGAAGGAGGAGATGGACTCTGAGCTCCTGGGATCTTGGTAAGGGGAGGAGCTGTGAGGGACAGTCACTGGCTGGGACCCAGGAGGCCCTGCCCCCTCTCATTTTGCTTCAGACAGGAGCAGGGGCTGCCCGCCTCAGCCTCCTCAGCCAGGCCCAACAGCAGGTGGAGTCAGTGAGTCTAAGGGCTCCACCCTCCAGCCCCAGGGTGCCCTTGGCCCCTGACTTCACACCAGATGAGCCGTCTTTCAAGGAACTTGTGTCCAATGGTGAGTACAAGAGCTTCTAGCCCAGGCTGTGCTGTCCTCAATCTCTGTGCTTTAAGGTGACGTTTCCCAGGAGCCAGTGTTTCTGTAGATGCTGTGGTAGAAACGGCAGCTATGATGCTGCTGGCAAAGCTCTCCTTACGTGGTACTGGGAACCCTCCTCCTCCCCAGCTGACCACTGCCTTCCGGAGGGAGCGGAGATTTAATAACCTGGCCCCTTTGCCATAGCACAGCCTGGGAACCCAGCTCAGGATCCATGAAATCCTTGTTGATGTGAACTGAGCTGCAAAGCAGGATCCTATAAGCCACTAACGCAGGACAAGTACCCTTGAAAAACCGCTCTAGGAATGTATCTGCCACTAATGCAGTTCCTGCGAACGGCAGCAGGGGGCAGCGTTTTCTTTACTATTTACTCCAGGCAAGCCGTTGGGGAAGGGCAGAGGGGAGGTGGTGGTGGAGAAAAGCCAGGGTCCTCCCTCAATATGGGTGTTTCTATGTCCATATTGGACATTCTGGTGATGTCTAGAAGTCAGGGAGCTGATCATTCGGGTGGAAGTGTTTTCAGCCCTTCTCTGGGCAGACTAGGCAGGGTCTGAGGACACGTGAAGACACCCTTTGGCTGGTCCTTCCTGGGGGGAGGGGCTGTGCAGGCACAGGGAGAGGCGGGGGTGTGAGAGGAGCAAGACCCTCTCTGCACTGCACACTAGGAACCGAGGGCCCACTAGGTCCTGCCTTCCTGCCTGGGCCTCCATCGACAGTGTGACCTATGACACCAGGGCCTCCCTGTGTTGGTAATGTGGGCGGTTTCTCTCTGAGGACAGGGAGCCTCCTGTGCTGGGCAGCTTCATGATCCAGAGCAGTGGCCTGTGGTGGCTCCCACGGTGCCGTTCTGCCTGAGGTTAAGCACAGCCCTCCCTGCAGGTGCCTCTCTGCAGGGAGGACCATGTAGGTCAGACCTGGGCGCAAGCATGTCCCTCAGGGCCCTTGGGTGGGGGTGGGGATGGGGATGGGGTGAAACCACGGGGCCTGCTCTCTTTGCTGAAATTCCCAGGTTTGAAAAACAGCGTCCCTGCCCCTGACCAATCACAAACGGGGCTCCGTAGGGGGGCATGGACCACGCCTCATGGTCAGACAAGGATGCAGGAAGTTCATTCCTGAGTCTACAATGGGGGCCTTGTCTGCCCAGGTGTCTAAGCGTGATGATTTTGGCACCCTTTCTATGAGAAGGAGGAAGACAACATACCCAGTGCCTCCCAGCACTTACCTCCTCTCCGTTCTGGCCCAGCTCTACCTTGGGGGGGAACAGGGGGAGGGAGCAGGGCGGTTTCCTCCTGGCAGGCTTACTGGCCGGCATCTGGAGGGCGGGAGGATGATGGACAGACACACAGAGAAAGAGAGCAAGTCAGGCAACAGGGAGGAGGAGGAAGGACGTGGAGGTGGTTTTAGGGATGGCAGGGAGGAGGACAGGATGGAGGCAGGGGTGGTGTGTCTTTGAGACTGGCATTAGCTGGATCAGAATTCCGTGTCCCCGCCAACCCGGCTCCTGTCCCTCCAGGCTTCGGGCCTCCTGCTGCAGCCACTGGCCTGAAATCACCCACGTCTAGCCCCGGGCGCCGCCAGCACCTCTGTCCAGTACCATCTGCCTGCCCCGGATGCCATCCCCGTGTGTGTACAAACGATGGGCGGGTTTTTCAGACCAGAAAATAAAAGCGCAAAGTAACAGCCTGAGGCGTGCGCTCGTGCTGGCCCCACGGGCCCTGTGGCCTCCCCTCTCGGCTGCCCCTCCCCTGAGACCGGGCACTCAGGAAAACCTAGTTTGAATCTCCACCTGGCGACACTTTCCCACACTGTCCTCTCCAGCAGGATTCTTCTAGAACCCATTGGCCACGGGGTCCCTTCCCTCTCCTGACCCTGGTTTCCTGCTTCCCAGCTGGGATTCCTGAGCTCCAGGCAGGAGCCAGCCCGGAGGTCCTTATTCTGTGCCAGCCTACATTTGGCACAGTCTGGCACATGACGAGGTCTCTATCAGGGGCTGATGGAGGCGGCCTGGCCCGCGGGTGGCTCTGGCCCTGCTCCCCGCCCTGGGCAGAGGCCCCGTCGCTGCAGGGAGATCCTGCCCGGCCCGCAGTGGCCACGACATTCCTCACATGCAGGGGACCCTCGGTGGCTTCTCTTCCTAATTTGGTAATTACCACACTTCCTCCCTCCCTCCCTCCCTCCCTCCCTCCCTCCCTCCCTCCCTCCCTCCCTCCCTCCCTCCCTCTGCGCCTGACCCAGACTTCCCCTTCCGCCAGCCCCCCCCCCAGACCCGGGCTGCACTGCCGGGCTCACCTCCTTCGCCGCCGCCGCCTGCTCCCTGAACCGCCCGGCCAGCTGGGCCACCGAGGGGGACGCCGAGCTGTCCACGTTGGCATTGGTCTCCGCGGGTCTCTCCTGGCAAAACAAGGGGAAGCAGCAGTGAACGGGAGTCGGGAGCCGGCTCAGCCCAGCATCCACGCCGGGGCCATGTCCGGGCCATGTCCGGGCCACGCCGCACCTGCTGTGGCCACGGGCAGAGGCGGTGACAGTGACATCTTCGAACCGCCTTGTGCCATCGGTTCCCACATGCAAAGTTGGAAACAACAACACTCAGTCCGCTACATGTAGGGGATGTTTCAGATGTGTGGGGCCCTGGGTGGCTCCGGGGAGCTTAGGGAAACAAAGCCGGGCCCTGTCCTGAGGGTGCCCGGGGGCCAGGGGACAGACGTGCCTTCACTCTGTGTGTCCCTGGCAGCCTGGTCAGAGCAGGCTGTGGAAGGGGGGCGGGGGCAGGCCCTGGAGAGAGGGGCCTTTACATGTATGAAACGGTGACCAGTGCCCTCCGCTGAGCGTCTCACGCATGCATGGCCTCGTTCCCTGCTTCACCAAGTGTGCGGGGGTGACGTGCTCAGTAATTAATTTTTTATTTTTATTTATTTTTTATTTTTAATTTTTTTATAGAGAGGAAGAGAGAGGGATAGAGAGCTAGAAACGTCGATGAGAGAGAAACATCGACCAGTTGCCTCTTACATACCCCCTACCGAGGATGTGCCCGCAACCAAGGTACATGCCCTTGACCGGAATAGAACCTGGGACCTTTCAGTCCGCAGACCGACGCTCTGTCCACTGAGCCAAACTGGTTTCGGCACTCAGTAATTAATTAATAAACGCCCAGCGCGGCGCCGCAGCCTGGCGGAGAGGCCTGTGTGCTGCCCTCTCCGGGAGCTGCCCGCGTGCTGCCCGCGCAGTGGCTGCGGGCACGGCCCTCGCCTTCTGCGCCGTGACGAGGACGGGGGCAGCGCAGTCCCGGAGGGTCTGTGGACGAAACGCTTTCCTGTGGGAAGGGCAGGGCCGGCCTTTGGGAGGGTCGTCACCACTTCAGGCGACGGGCCCTTCCCGGGCTGCTCAGCGAGGCCGGTGGGGGGCGGGGGCTGTGTGCCATGCCACTCCCTCCAGAGTCCTCACTCGGAGACTTTCCCCTCCCACCACCACCACGTTCCTTTTCGTGGGGGAAGCAGGCCGGTCCTGCCCTGCTCTGCCCCAGGGAGGCCTTCGGGTTACAGTGACCGCCCCCCACAGGAGCCTGGGGGTGCACCTGGACTCGGCTCACTCCATGGGTTAATTGTCACAGACACGGGGTGAGTCTGGGCGCTGGACAGGCCACCCCACATCTGTGAGGTCACACAGCCACCTGGTTTTAATCATGTTTGTAACGTCTCAGAGACACAGGCCTTTTTGTGATCAGGACGATGGCATTTACTGCACAGACGTCAGACTCCCTCCTGCAGGCTGCTGCCCAGACACAGCGTTTGGCCAGTTCTGTCTTCCCTGCCTGGCTCATGGCTGTCCCTCCAGCACAGGTCTGCCTCCCCGTGTACCACACACACACACACACACACGTGCATACATGCACACACAGACACACATTCATGCATATGCACGCATACACAATACATGCACACATAGACAGGTGTGCACACACATGCATACACATGTTCACACACGCATGCACACACACACACACACACACATACACTTCCTAGGCCCTCTTTTTATGCTAAAAGCCTCTCCACGCCTGCAATCTGGGTGTCCCTCCAAAGTGAACGTGAGGGGGCCTGCCCTGGTGCCCCCTCGGGGTGCAGGAGCAGATGCCCCCCACTGAGCTCCCGCAGTGATGCTGAGCACGCGGGACCAGGCTTGTTCAGAGACGGGGGAAACTGCGGGGCCATGGCTGTCAGACCGGGGAGCGGGCTCTGAGGAGAGATGGTCCTCCTCCTGTGTCCCGCTCCAGTTCAAATTCACCCGTCCCAGCCTGAACAGCAAACCCGACACGAAGAGAGTCACCTCCAGTGCAGACACCCGAGTTTCCAGAACACGGAGGGCGGGGAGTCCCGGCCTGCGTGGGGCCGGGGATGCACCGTGAGCACCGTGAGCACTCCCGCGTTGGGAGCGCCAGGAGGCAAACACCCCGTCCCGCAACAAGGCGGCCTGCGGGACGGTGAGCCTCGCCGAGCCGCTCCTGGCACAGCTGCCCATCCGCCTGTGCATCTGCCTAGCTTCCTGCCCACATCACAGATCAGCCTCTCTGTCTGTGCTATTTATTGCTCAGATCCTGCTGACCGTGCACCTCGCCGCGGCTCCAGGCGCCCAGGGCTGCGGTGCAGGGAGACACATTCCAGATAAAAATAGAGCCGCAGGGATCAAAGGCCTCCGGACTTCCCTGTCCCGAAGGGGGCTGGGCGACGGGCTTGGAGGACGGGAGGCTTCTGGAAGCATTTAGGGCTTAAAGAAAGAAAGATTACAGTTCGTCCGAGTGTGCTTTCCTGGAGCCCAGTGAGTGGGCTTTCTTCAGAATGTCTGCAGATCCCAGAGCTGGCGGGAGCCCAGCAAGCCCACTCTCCATCATTGTGTGGAGGACTAGTATTGCCTGCTCACAGCGAGGCTCATTGCAGCCCAGAGAGGGCAAGTGACTTAGGCAGAGTCACACAGGAAACCAGACAGAATCCTCTATGAAATAATGGGCTTCAATCCCTGACAGCCTAGCAATGCATACCAGTTAAGCAGTGTGATTGCTGAAGGTGCTTTGCAAACTGTAAAGTGCTATACGCCTAGTGAAACTATAGCTGCTGGGTTGACTGGCACAGCAAGAGAAGCCTGGAGGGGTTGGAGGGGCAAAGGGGTCGGTAAGGGGAGCAGAGCTCAGCCTGTTTGAGGCTCTGCCTGGATTTCTGCCTGGCAGTTCCTACAGGTGTGACTTCTAACCCCCCAGGGTCCCAGGACACCCCACCTGGGCCCCAGGTTCCAGGGCACCCAGGCCTGAGGTCTCAGGGCCCACTAACCCAGCCCCAGGCTGGCCAGCTAAGGTGTTGGGAGCTCGCTCAGTCCCGAGTGTTCCCGCCTTGCCCTGAACTTTCCTGGGGCCCCTGAGCCTTCCCAGGACTCGGCATTCCTTCCCAGCTCCTAAGAGGCCCATCAAGCATTTCACACAAAGCCCAGGGTGTGGCAAGTCCTCCCCGAGTGGTCGGAGCAGAGGGCCCAGGGTGGACCCTGAAGCACCTGCTTGGGATGGAAGCGCAGACGAACAAGGTTTGAAGCTCGAGTGAGGCGAGGCCGCATGGACTCAGAGGGCTGCTGGGCGTGCCGCCCCTCCACTGGGCTGGGCTGCTCACCTGCTTCTCCCCTCCCCCCTCCTCCCTCCTTCCACCGTGGAGCGCAGAGGGGGAGGGCGGATCAGCCTGGTCAGTCAGGCAGTCTCTGGACAGCTCGGCTTTTTAAAATTTGTTTTAAAATATATTTTTATTGATTTCAGAGAGGAAGGGGAAGGGAAAGAGATAGAAGCATCAATGATGAGAGAGAGTCATTGATTGGCTGCTTCCTGCACGCCCCTCTTGGGGTTTGAGCCCACAACTTGGGCATGTGCTCTGACATGTGACCTGATTCATAGGCCTGTGCCAGTGGTCAGCAAACTCATTAGTCAAGAGAGCCAAATATCAACAATACAATGACTGAAATTTCTTTTGAGAGCCAAATTTTTTAAACTTAAGCTATATAGGTAGGTACATTGTTATCAACTTAATTAGGGTGCTCCTAAGCTGGCCTTTGCTAAAAACTCAAGGAACCAAAGAGCTGCATGTGGCTCGAGAGCCACAGTTTGCTGACTAGGGGCCTACGCTCAACTGAGCCACACCAGCTGGGCTAGGCTAATTTATTTATTTATTTGTTTATTTATTTATTTATTTAGGGAAAAGAGGAGAGTGTGGAAGGTGCCTCTGTGTGGCTGGTGGGTGATGGAGACGGGCTGGCTCTGAGGCCAGCAGGTAAACCAACCCTTCATTGCTCTTCAGGGTCAGTGTAGGGCTCCCTGTCATGCGCTCCTCTCATGTAGGTCAGTCCCATAAGAAACCTGGTATCACAGAAGGCCCCTGTGAGTCCGAGGGGTGGGCTGGGCTCAGGGAGCCACTGCACCAGGGCTGCCGGAGTCCTGGGGGTTGCGGTGACTGCCCAGAGGCCCCAGAGGAATCCCCGTCAAGAGGGGCCATTTCTGCTTCCTGAATGGGCGTGGCTGTCTGTGCCCTGAGGTTTGTGTCCTTCAGGCCACCGCAGAAAGCTGAGGCTGAACTTCTAAGATTAGAACAAGTTGCCCAAGGACCTGGGCCTGCCTCCCAGTCAGCTGCGGACTCTCCGGTTACAATGGCTTCCATGCCCGTCCTCCCTCCCCAGGTCCACGCTCAGATGGTCTACTAAGGCCTGTGCTCCTGGACACGGCTTCACGCTGCCTCCAGAAGCCAGAGCACTTGGGAGGCTATAGTTTGGCTTCAAAAGGCACCCATCACATTTAGTAACAGCAAGACCAACAACCCAAGAGAAAAATGGGCAAAGGTTTTGAATAGAGACTTCATGAAAGAAGATAATAGGAATGGCTCAGAGGCACACTGGTCATTAGCTAAACATACATTAAGGCTGCAAAGAGATACCACTACCTACCCACAAGAATGGCAACAGTGAAATAAACTGACAGCACCAAGTGTTGGCAAGCCTGCAGGGCAACTGGAATGCTCACGCGTTGTTGGTGGGAACACTACTTGGAAAAATATTTTGGCAGCTTCTCATTAGGGTAAATACACACCAAGCAATTAACCCAGAAATCTCACCCCTTGGTATCTGTGCAAGAGAGGAAGATATATGTCTCCATACAGACTTGTATGCATGGAAAACCAAGATAGTGGTGTAGGTAAACGTGGTACTTGTTGATTCGCACAGCATCAAAATTACAACTAACATACAGAATAACCATCATCCAAACCACTGAAATCTGGTTGAACAGAAGTGCTATAATTAGAGCAGTAAAGAAGAAAGCACATCAATACCAGTGGAAGGGGCGGAGGGGGAATGGGCTGGTCTGACACCCACAGGTG